GAGTTCGCCAAAATGGCAATCTTTAAATCACAGGTACAAAATCTTTTTAAATTTAAATTCAGGACAACATAATTTTTTATGTGAAGAAAAAACTTCGTCAAAAAAAGCTATAGCAAAACAATAATCTTTTAAAATACTTAGGTTTTTGTTTTGATTTTCGTAACGAAAGTAACGGAATGTATATGCTCGGGGTGGTTGCTTTTTGTCTTCAGAAAAAAATCAACTTTTGAAAACCCGAGTCGAGATTTTTCACCTAATGAAGCAAGATTTAAGCGGTTTTGAGCGCAATTGTCGAAGAAAACCGCTCAAACCGCCCAAGTTTTGCTTCAAATTAGTTGTAAAATCTCCACTCTTGTAGTTGAAAACTCAAAATTTGTCTGAAGAAAAAAAACCACCCGAGCACAAGCTTTCAGTTACTTTCGTTGCAAAAATCGAAACAATAATCTAAGTATTTTCAAGGATTATCAATCAGACTTTTGTAACAAAACTAGCCAAATGTTTGTACTCGGAGGTATTTTTGTGCCCTGAGCTTAATTTGAAAAAGTGTATATTTCACTTGTCAGAAGGCTGCCATTTAGGCCAATTTAGGAAAAGTAACGCGCAAAACTTTAAGCGCTATTAACGCGTAAGCGGAGATTTATTACATCTTAGAAATTGTTTCAATTGAACGAAGTTTTTTTGCCAAGTTTGATTTGTTACTAGGAGTGAAATCTATCATTTTGTACTTTTTATACCGTGTGGGCGGACGACTTTCACAAGAAACTCAAATTTAGAAAAAATAATATTTTTATTCTTTACATCCAACTTTTTCATGTTATTAATGCTCCAAAGACCTTAAAAGGCAGTCGGAACAACCAGGGTTTCACACTTTTACAAGCACTCCTGTTTTTTTTGAGGAATATTTAAAAAACACGCGTAAATCAATTTGATCTCATCAACTTAGTCTTGTCGAAAACGATGATAACTATTGAATAGTAAGATTTGCTGCAGGATTTAACTACAGTTGTATTGACGTTTGCTTATCAAAAAACTACAGTTGTCTTAGAGTTTTTTGATAAGCTTACCGCGGCGTCTTTAGGCAGCGCAGTTATGTAAGTGGACTCTGCTACAAGGACACTCACTTTGTTCTTCTTTTGTTCTTTAAATTTCTTTTTTTTCGCTCCGAAAAAAAAAATTATCATGTTCAAAGACTTGTCTTTGAGATCCAGGAACATACAGACCAAAATTTAGGCACCTATCCAGTGCACAGTTTTGCATTGAAGTGAACATTTTACTCAGATTCACTATAAAAATTTCAGCTAAAAACAAGGAAACCAACAAAGAATAAAAAAGTTTTGGTGTTCTGAGGGTTTGTATGCATAAACAAATTATGATTTTACAAGAAGATGCTATTTTGAGCAAACATTTTATTAGCTTTGCGACTAAAAGCAATAAAGGAAACGAAAATTAATTGCGGCTTTTTTTTCAAATTTTCAACATAAATTTCTAACGATTATATCAAATCAGCAAACCAAATCATGATTGACAAAACGTATTGAAACTGTCTGACTAGCGTTTTTTGATTAAAACCTATTTAGTAAAAAAAATTTATCGGTCCAAAAAAGCTTTGTAATTGTTTTATTTTCAATGTTTAGTCTTCGTTTTTTTTTGTTGGATAACCTGAGTAATAAAACTGATCACTGATCTCAAGTTTTTTTCACATTTCAATCTAGGTTCTAGGTTTCTGATATCTTCTTTATCATGTATTCTGTGTAATCCAAATAATAAATTTTTTTAACGGAATTGTTATGGGTTTAAACGGGAAAGTTTATTTATGTCAAGGGTAAAAACAAAAGGTATGATCACTCGCGGGTTTGAAAGTTAGGAACCGTAGCTGACTGTTATAGATCTGGAGCCATGGATTGCTAATTTGAGATAGTAAAACTTCCATCACTTTTTCAGAAGCGCAAAGTTTTCTTGAACCAATCTCGAATTTTCTGAGCGGCTTTTTTGAAATGGACCAAAATCAGAAACAAACATATGTAATAAAAAGGACTGTACAGCAATGAACCAATTTTGAACACTGCGTACGAAAGTTGAGATCGTTGCAATGATATCCATTTTTCGAGGGCACTATCAGAACGTATCATTATATACGGCCAGGACGCTTCAATGGAACTTGACTTTTACCTTTAATACAAGTCGGTACAATTGTGATTTTAGACTAATTCAGGTTTTTCTTTTTATTTCGTCCACCTTCAAAAAGAACTCATTCTCGCTATAAAAATCCTTACAATTATTAGAATTGAAACTAAACTTTTTGATATGTAACTTTTTTAACGATACAAACTAAAACAACTGGCTAATCATACAATTCCATATACTAACTCTATGAGAAAATACTAGTCAAACAATTTCAAACTTTTTGCTAAAATGGTCTCAAAGAATTTTCGAAGAACTGTTTTTCTTGTTTTGGTATGAAATTCGGTGTATTGTACCAAATAAAAAGAAAACAATTTTTGTCAAAAAAATTTTAATCATACAATTTCCATATATGAAAATTTTATGACTGGCACTTTACCTTTAATACAAGTCGGTACAATTGTGATTTTAGACTAATTCAGAATTTTTCTTTTTATTTCGTCCACCTTCAAAAAAGAACTCATTCTCGCTATAAAAATCCTTACAATTATTAGAATTGAAACTAAACTTTTTGATATGTAACTTTTTTAACGATACAAACTAAAACAACTGGCTAATCATACAATTCCATATACTAACTCTATGAGAAAATACTAGTCAAACAATTTCAAACTTTTTGCTAAAATGGTCTCAAAGAATTTTCGAAGAACTGTTTTTCTTGTTTTGGTATGAAATTCGGTGTATTGTACCAAATAAAAAGAAAACAATTTTTGTCAAAAAAATTTTAATCATACAATTTCCATATATGAAAATTTTATGACTGGCACTTTTTTATGGCAGCAACAATAATTTTATCAAAAAGTTTTGAAACTGCCCCAAAAATTTTTGATGTCTATTTTTAACCGCAAATCGAATTTTGTACTAGAAAAGTAACTTTTTCCGAAAATTTTTTTTGCAATGCATGATTTTTTTTGTGTGGATAAAGTAGTCCTGAATACACAAAATAAGGAGTCAATGGGATTTTTTCCGTTTCTCTGGATGAATTTTTCAAAAACACTAAAAACTTCTATCTAATTTGTTTGGCATATTTAAGTAAGCCTTGACCAATGTCGGATAATTTGAACAATAAAAATTGGAAAATAATTTTCCTTGAAAATGTTAGCAAAGTTTTAAAGTTTGATACTTTTAGTATTTGATTTCAGTACAAGAACACTCTGATACACTTCATGTTGTTTCCAATGCATATTAAGTACGAGACAATCAAACTGTTGGTGACTCTAGTTTGGGTAAACCATAGTTTTTGTCAATTGTGTTCAGTTACGAACACATTCCAAAAATTTTGAGAAACTAAATTCAAAGAAATCATTTTTTTTGTTTATCTTAGTAAAAAGGCAAGTCGTATAATTTGCATATGAAAACTGTATGAGTATTGTTTTTGGTCAACCCCGAAATTACACATCTTACAAATTTAGCAAAAAAAACTGCAATTTATCACATTTTTGCCCAAATGACTATGAAGCCACCACCATTGATAGCCTTATTCAAATTGAACTGGGAAACTACGCCACAAATCTTGAGAACCAGTTTAGACCATTTGTTTTAAAACTTCTTTTTTGGAAAAATTCTTCCTGTTGAGCTATCAAGCATAAGAGCACCTGCTGAAGTGAAAAAAGCAACTTGACAAGGAAGCATCAATCAAAAAATGTTTAACCATTTCAAAACACAGATATTAAAGCATGAATAAGTTTTAATTCAAAAGTCTGTCCTTAAAGTCTTTTGTCTTTGGGTTCTACCCGGGTCGAGGTGCTCAATTTATGTTTCGGCTTTCTCCACCAATATTCATTATGTTTTAAACGGTTCGTTATGTTTTGACGGACTTTCGTCACTAAAATCATTTTGAACATCAGCATCTTTCAGCCTTTTTGTACAGACGGTTTTCTTAAGTTTCAGATAGAAAGCACACAAATTGGTTTCTCTACTAAAATTTAGAACATATTTTACCATATTTTAACCTTTGTTGAGTACGCAATCAAATTAAAAACGGTCGTTACCAGCGAAAGCAATTCAGACAAAACGCAATGTTTATGTAACTAGGTTAAAACACTTATGTCAACGACTTACCGCGATACAATTATCTATAAAACATTTTTTTTCATTTATACGATAAAACAAGTTTTATTGAACACTTAGATATCGCGCGCCATAGTTTTTCAGCAAAAAACGGATTATTTTCTCTCATTCCTTCAGACCTTCGATGTCCTTCCAATTTTCACGACGTTTTAAAAATTGAAAACCTGCTTGCTCTGTTACTCATCTTAATACATTGCAATTACCAGGCACGGAAACAATTTGCAGTCTTGTAAACCTTAATTCAATAATTTATTTTAATAAGAAAATTCACCCACGCACACCCCAACTGAAGAATTCCTTGGTGAAAAAAGCTCGAAATTTAG